TACCCGTTCCGGTAAATGTGAACGGGCTTTCCCTTCAGACACTAGCAGAGTATGGGCCCATGGGGGACTATGGGAGTGCTCATGACGCCAATAGATGACAATCACTAACAGATAGAGCTTCGGCTGTGGAGAATAAAGGGTTAAAGTTCATTTTCGCAACGATACCACAGTATAGCCAACTTAGTTTTGTTATTGTTCTTGTCATTTTTTAGATTTTTGATACAATAACCAACGCTGCAATGCAGGATTCGTCTGCTTTTTGCTATTAGAGAAAGGAGCAGCAGAGACTATTATGTTTGGGACTTTGTCAGACTTTGGCAGGTAACTTTGTCAAAAACTGTTACAGTTCACTTGGACCAGTTTCTTCTTTATCCACATCATAACATGCAAGTGTGATTAAGATTGTTGCCTCGTTTTGTTTGGTTTGCAAAATATGTGTTTAATTTTGCATTATAAGTTGTAATCGCACCATGCGGCTTGTAATCACGCATCTTTATAGATCAGTGCTTGAACTGTATCTCTCAAGTTAAACCTTTATGGGGCTATTCACATATTGCATCCAAAACCACGTTAAAAACACAACACATGCTTCTTCATTTACCGATTCAAAGTGTTTCTGAACTCGTGATCCTCCATTGTTTGCCTTTGCTATGGCCACCATCAGCTGGTCATACACACACAGCAAGGTCAATTTTTTAAAATAGTTCAACTTTTGCCACTGTGTGGATTAATACTAAATGTGTGTCATTGTTATAACTTGGGGTTAGGTTTAAGTTTATTTATTTATTCCTTATTGCCACATCAGCAACTTATGGCTATTTCGTGGCAAAATGGATAAACATAAAATATTACATGATAAAAACAAATTTGTATTACAATAAAAAGACAAATATATAAAATATAATTAGATAAATTTCACACAAAAATATATCCAAAGTTAAATATGATTTTTTTGTTAAATTTTTGATCATTAATTTTAATTTTTTCCCTGTGGTACCTTTTTAAAAATGTCCATCAAAGTACAATCCTTAAAAAAAGTTGTCTAATGGTTTTAAAACTTCCACATTAACAAACTATGTTTTATGGTAAGAGCAGCCTGAGGGTAATTACATTTAGGTGGGTCTTCATTATTCAGTAAATATAAATGTGTTAACCTAGATTGTCCAAATCTAGTATAGACAGTCCAATCATGCTTTGTCTCATTATAATTTGCTAAATGTATTTAATTTATTTCCGGGTTAATTTCATGTAATTTATTATTTATGCGGTTGTCCCATTCTCTTTGCCATGTTTCGTTTATGTACAAATTGATAGTGGGTTTCAAGTCCTGAGGAGGAATTAAACATTCTGTCACTTTCAAGCCTGTTTTGCTGCTTCATCTGACAGTTAATTTCCATGTAGTCCCATATGACCTGGAATCCAACAGAAGATAGTGTTAAACTTTTATTTTCTAGTGTTGTAATTTTCTTTACAATCATGGAAAATATGGGATGATCACACTTAGAAGCTTCAAGTGCTTGAAGACGGGATTTGGAATCTGTGCAAATAAAAAAAGTTACTGTACTGTGTTCTTTTCATTTGTTCTAAAGCCATATTTATTGCATAAGCTTCTGCTGTGTAAATTCAACTTTCTCCTGGAATCCGAGTACCAAAAACATCATCTTTAAACACTACTGCTGCTGTTACTGCTTTGTCTGTTTTCGATCTATCTGTATATATGGGTTTATGATGAGGGAGACTGTCTGTTATTTGTTTGAATTCTTGTTTGTATTTGTGTGGGTGAGTCAAGGACTTCTTTCTGTTTGGTTAAGTTCCATAAGATTCTTATTTTTGAGTTGCACCAAAGAGGAATATGGCTCAAATCAGGTAGTGAAAGCTTTTCATAATTAACACCCATATTCATCAGATGGGGTTTCATACGAAGCTAGGTTGAAAATCCTTTTTTGATTTTTATTTGACAGTACATTGGATTGCTAATTTTAAACACTGTCTTTCAAGGGATGGTTCTTTTGCTTCAATATATAAACTTTAAACGGGATGTTCTGAATGCTCCCAATTAGATTCATAGTCCTATGTGATATACAGTGTACAGCATTTGAAATCAAATGGGGTTAGGATAAAAAGTAGAGTAAAGCAGGTCGCACACCAGAAGCGCCGCTCGGCGCCGCGACACGGCGCGTACATGACAGATTAAAGTATCGCACACCAGACGCGCACATTCGAATGATATTTAACATGAAACTAATCAGATGGCGCTCTGTGGCGCGGCTGAAAAATGAACTGCGTCCTGAGCCGTCGCCGGGCGCCGCCGACAGCCGCCGACTTGCGGCGCCGGTGTGTGTATCCTGATAGAAACCTATGTTTGTAATTCTAAAATACATGGCGCTGCATGGCGCTGCGCGGCGCGCCGCCGAGCGGCGCTTCTGGTGTGCGACCTGCTTAATAGTTGGTGTTTAACTGCATTGCTTTATTGAATTCCTGCATTTGGCTCTCACATTCTCTGTTTGCTATTTCAATAGTTTTTGCCGTTTCTCTCTGTCTCCCGCTGATCGCAGTTGACCAATCACAACAGACTGTGTTATCGGCCCAATCAGCACAGATTAGCTTTGCTAAGGAGGGGTTTGGAAACAAATTAATTGCTGAACGAATCAAATGGGAGTCATTGGGATAATTAGGTACAAATAAATGCATATTATTATAAGACAATGAGAGTGTTTTTGACCTTGTATGCATATCAGCCTGTTGTTGGAGAGCCCAGAACCAAAATATGACCATTTATAAAGCAAACAGGGGCTCTTTAAAAGCAAAGAACTTGTACTGAATTTAACTGTTTATAAAACAAAGACTTCAGAGTATTGTTTTACATTTGATTATTATTTAACTACTGTACACCTGAATACAGTTCAACTCTTTGGAAAACAATCAAAAGCTGCTTATTTGATTTGTATTTTTCTTTTTTTTTTTGAATATGTATATGCTTTTATGTTGTTTCTTATATTTTATGCATATGCTCTCCCCTACAGAATCATCCCAATCAATCTAAAATGATACATTTTTTCCAAATAGTTATTCAACACATCTAGCTAAACTGTTTTGATATTACAATATCCCAGAATAAAAAAAAAATGCAACATTCGTTTTTTTTCCAATATCATGCAGCCCTAACATCATGCTTCTGGTAATCTAATAAAGCTGGAAATGTATTAACATTTTGCTTGTATTTTTATAAAGCAAATTTAGAATTTTTAAATATAAAGCTCATAGCCCAATTATCAATCTGCTCTTGAGCAATTAAGGATATGAGAGAGCTATAATAAATGACACACTATCATTAAACTTATCATTTTATAAAAAGCAGAAACAGTCAGTGTCGCCGCCCTGACATTCTTCATTACATTCGGCCACTGATCCTTCCAGCATGATGATAATGAACGGCACAAAAAGCAGTCACAATCATTTATCAGTAATTGGTTTCACAATGTGTGCATAAGGAAAGTCTGGATCCATGTAAGGTTTTATTGTGAATGTTGCGATAGAGGGGTTAAAACTTAGTGATATTAAAATGCTTAATGCCTTATGCAGTGGTGGAATGAAGAGAGAGAATAAAACCTAACATGAAACTACTTATCTGATGAAAGAAAGTGGTTAGATTATATGGCTGTCCAACCTTATAAACTAAATGGTTTAACTGCTACAGTGTGCATAATCTAACATTCTGCAATATGAGGAAGTGAAATCATCTGAAAGTCATAAAAAGCGGATTCATATACGTGCAAGTAATCCTTTGCAGAAGGACATATTGGTCCTCATTGGTTAGAAAGAATTACAAATAGGACATAACATGTTTTGTTTTATCTAGTGTTTTGAACGTGTCCGTGTTGGTTATGTCTAGGGGTTTCTATGCCATAGAAACAATCTTTAATCTAATAGAAAACTGTGTGAGTGCGAGTGTGTTTGTGTTACAAAAACTGCCAGTAAAAAAATATGTAGAAATACTACACTAAACAATACAAACAAGAAGTGGAATTAATGACTGAAAACCATAAATAAACTAATAAATAAGAATATTAAATATATTTTATAATTGCATACTTTCCATGTTCTGTTATATATCATATCTTTCATGTTTTATGATTTTTTTGTTTTGTTTCGGCTAGAATAAAAGCAGTTATTAAGCAGTTAATTTTTTTTTAAAAGCAGTTAATTTTTTGAACACCATTTTAAGGACAAAATTATTAGCCCTTCAAGCTAGATATTTTTCTGATATTCTACAGAACAAACCATCATTATACAATAACTTGACTAATTACTCTAACCAGCCTAGTTAACCTAATTAACCTAGTTAAGCCTTTAAATGTCACTTTAAGCTGTATAGAAGTGTCTTGAAAAATATGTAGTAAAATATTATTTACTGTCATCATGGCAAAGATAAAATAAATCAGTTATTAGAAATTAGTAAATAAAACTAAAGTTTAGAAATGTGTTGAAAAATCTTCTCTCCATTAAACAGAAATTAGGGCAAAAATAAACAGGGTGGCTAATAATTCAGGGGGGCTAATAATTCTGACTTCAACTATATATATATATATATATATATATATATATATATATATATATATATATATATATATATATATATATATATATATATATGCCAGGGTGTATTGACAAAAGTACTATTATTACCCATTATTGGTTCTGAGAATAGTGTGTGGCAATTTACCAGCTGAAAAAAAACAGTTCTATTATTTATAACAGATAACAGTTTTTTACCTAACTATTTTAATACAGACAAACTATTTTGAAAACATATTATGAGAGTTAAAATGTGATCTATTATACTAGTAAATATGTAGACGAGTTTTAGTAAAAGCAGTTCTACACAGAAGCATAACTTGACAAAAAGATGAGCACAGCTGAGCTGCAGAAATGCTTTCCCATCATGAATTAAGAAGATAAATGAATAAAAAATGATACATGTGTGCGGGATGAATCCTTACTGGTTGGTGGGCGGTGCTGAAAGGGGGAAAACAACCTCCTCTTCCTCATATTCTGGCCCATCCTGTTGATCGCTTTCATCCACACTCCCCTGCCCCCCAAGTCCAGACGGCGGAGGGGGCGGTAAAGGTGGGAAGACCGTGGGCCCGTCAGTGGGCGACATCCGGCTGCTACCCGGTCCGTCCGAAGAGGGAGACTCGCAGCCGGTGGCAGCAGCGGCTCTCCCAGCGAGCTCTTCGCCTCCGGCGCTCGGGTAAATCATCATGTCAGGATCCGGGACAGGGACCCGTACTCGCGCGGGTTTGCTGTAAAGAGGAAAGTGGGTCGAGTCGGGGCCTCTGCTGCCGTCCGATCCCCTGTCCTCGCCCCTCACCTCCATGCAGAGATCAAGAAGACAGCCTAAGCTTCCTCCCCAAGTCTGCTAAAGCTTCTTCTACGTCCAGGCTTTTAATGCGAGGGGAGAAAGTTTCCTGAAAACAGAAGAGTTCATACACACTCTATCACACACACACACTCAGCTCAGCGGCTAGCACATGAGTTCAGGTCTTCATTGTCTCCCGAGTTTCACAAAAACAAGCAGGGGTTTTGTGAATTGATGCGGGGTGAATGTCCGAGTAGATTAGAGGATGGTGTATTGAGGCCCTGGTTCAGTCTGGTGTCAGTTGTGGCTTTATTGTCAGTCTTTCGGGCTTGTTATTTTGTTTGCAGTGAGTTCAGAAACCGAGCCGATCTGCTACTTTTCAACGCTTCGCAGTTGACCGCGGACGCCCAACACGCGTCTACCCACTCGATTCCGCTCAAAGAGCGCGTCAAAGTGTTTTCTTCAGCCGTAAATTGTCTTTTCTTCTCGATATTGCTGGACTGGTGGAACATTTGCCACAGCTGCTCCCAGTCCCACTCCTCTCCCTGCCCGTCCCCGCTCATGCGCAGACCCTGCTAGCAGATTACAGACCAAACCAGTAGATTACAGAGGCTCGCAACACGACCGAGCATTGTAAGACAAGACATGATAGTGCCGCTTCGGGATCATAATTACCGGTTTATAATCGCAAAACATACTTTTATGTAACTTAAAAATGATTTAAGTGTCCTTTCTAGAGATGTCTAATCTAATCCAGTGGTCAAATTAACTGATAAAAATACTAGAAGCTGAGTTTTTCCTTCTTTTAATAATCATGCAGTTTGAAAATCAAATTTGTCCTAAAGAATATGCCGAAATCACAATCTAAATTAGTAAACAACTGTCTGCAAATAGCAAGATCCGATCATCTCTGAAAATATATGTTCAGTGCTCAATAAGGGGCCCCATAGCCAGGAGGTTTGGGTGGCACCCTCACTGTCAAAAGTCCAGAGTTTGTCATATATGAGCTCATTTTTCTTATTCTGACTGCTATGCCACCATAAACAGTGAAAATAACCCATTAAAAAGGCTTTGAAACCAAGCGGAACCCTTTGTCAGCTTTTGCTTCTGTGTGATTTCAAATCAGTTTTGGCCAGTGCTATAAATTATTTTCATCAGTCCAACATCCAGCTGTGCAAGAGAACATACTATCTGACGTAAGTGAAGCCATCTTTCGCTACTGTATTGTTTTTTAAATAGAGAAAACATTTTACAAGTAACTTTTTTTCTAAATCTATTCTTTGAAACAAAAATGACCAATTAAAATGTGTGAAGCACCAAAAGCCGCCCATTAAAATGAATTTAAATACAAATTTTGATTGTTGTTATCCATGACATTAAAAAATATACCTTAGTGAAGTTGTTGTTGTTATTAAGTTTGAATTTATCATCATTCAAATGTCAAAATTCTGACTGAGGAAAGTTGAATGATCTGTATGTTATTTGTCCGATAAAAAAACAATAGGCCACTGGAAATAATTGGAAATTATTTCATATTTCTTTATGGTAAATCTTTAGGAAATATTTGTTGGACATCAAGTGTGGTTATGATGACCATGCACAGAATCCAGCTGAAATAGTGCTTAAGATGTTACTAAAATGCACTATTTAAACATCATAGTTAAATAGAAAATGAGGCATATAACTGCAAAAAGGTCCACTTATTGAAAAAAAAAAACACCCCTTTCACCAGGCTGATAAGTCAATGTAGGTCTACACAAAAGTATTTATTATTTTATTTAACTATTCAAATAAAGTTTTCATTAATCCATTTACATTTTTCATGTTTAAGTCATTGAATTTAAGTTTTTTTTTGTCATTTTAGTAATTAGTATGACTATCTTGCATCTGACAGCTTGCTTGCTCTCAAACAGAGTCATGTTTTGCTTGTAATTGTTACTACACTCAATAAAGAAAACATGGGCTCTCTGCAAATGCAACTAAAGTTGTTTTGTTCATTCATTCATTGGTAACACTTTATTTTAATGGTATATTTGAGTATTCGTAGACTGTCTGCTTTATATCTTTTAATTCTGCTCCTATAACAGACATTTAACTGACTATAAGAAACTTTGCAAATACATGTCAACTTACACTTACCCCAACTTAACAGTCTACTTGTGATCTAAAGAGAGTTAGTCGGCATGTAGATGCAATGCAACTAAAATTCAACAAACGGACCATCAAAATAAAGTGTGACTTATTCATTTTCCTTCAGCTTAGTCTCTTATTTATCAGGGGTGGAATGAACTGCCAACTAATCCAGCATATGTTTTACACAGCGAATGCCCTTTCAGCTGCAACCCAGTACTGGGTAACACACATACAGTCTGACACTCATACACTATGTCCAATTCATTCATTCATTCATTCATTTTCTTGTCGGCTTAGTCCCTTTATTCATCCGGGGTCACCACAGTGGAATGAACCAAAAAAATTGGTCCAGCCACAACCCATCTCTGGGAAACATCCACACACACACACTCATACACTACGGACAATGTAGCCTTCCCAATACACCTGTATGCACGTCTTTGGACTGTGGGGGAAACCGGAGCACCCGGAGGAAACTCACGCAAACCCAGGGAGAACATGCAAACTCCACACAGAAACGCCAACTGAGCCGAGACTCAAACCAGCGACCTTCTTGCTGTGAGGTGACAGCACTACCTACTGCGCCACTGCTTCGCCCTATGTCCAATTTTGATGCCCAATTCTCCCATAGCACATGTCTGAGGAAACCCTTACCAACGAAGGGAGAAACATGCAAACTCCACACCAAAATGCCATCTGGCGACATTTTTGCTGTGAGGTGACAGTGCTAACCACTGCACCAATGTGCTGCCAGATGTTTTGTTGATTCCTATTACTTATGGTAATCTATTTTTGTACCAAGAAAAGGATGTAAGTGTATACTTGTTTTCAAATATCATTCCTCAACTTAGTTAATTCACATATCACACTCTATAGCAGAGGTCACCAATCTCGGTCCTGGAGGGCCAGTGTCCCTGCAGGGTTTAGCTCCAACTTGCTTCAACACACCTGCCTGGATTTTTCAAGTATAACTAGTAAGACATTGATTAGCTTGTTCAGGTGTGTTTGATTAGGGTTGGAGCTAAGATCTGTAGGACCCCTGCTCTATAGGCTTACCTACTTACATTTTTATCAACCACTAATAGATATTATGCAATACCGAAGGCACATGTTAAAAGTTGTTCACACAATCAGTCAAACAAAAGACTATGCAGAGCAAACTGTAAACCATTTTTTTTTCTCTTTGTGACATTGGCACAAAATACATGCATTGAACACTTTTTTGTTTGTTTGTTTTTCAAAATTTTCAAACACTTTTGTTGTTTATTCTCTACAAGTGGCAAAAAGCTCGCCTGATATTTTTTCACATGCTGTGTTAACATTAGTTTCAAAATGGACTGATGGTCAAATCCATTCAATTAAAGTTTACAGCCCTCCTCAAGGTAATAATTGTTTCGAAGCAGCTTATTGCAATACAATCAAACTCTGAATTTTTTTTACGGGTAATAGAAACCATAACATTACAAGTTACTAATAACTTTAATTAACTATTAACAATAGATTTAAACAGTTGAACGTATTGTTTATAAATGTTAACTTGCATTTTATAGCATGTAGGTATAATGTCTTTGTGTACATGTTTAATGATGTGTATTTGTGTAAGAAATGTATATGTTGTCCTTGAAGTCTTCGATGGTTGGCTTCATCTCTTCACTGGTCTTGTATGCCATCAATGATGCTGCACAATGCATCCATGCATTTTTGCTGTATTTATTTTGAAAATGTCATGATAGTTCCAAGCTGATCACAATTCAGCCTAAAGCCTACTTTAGTTTTGTAATTCTCTGGATTTATTGTCATTGGCATTTATTATTTAATTGTTTTTAAACGAAATAACTTAGAACTGATTTTGTTAGGAAAATGGATCAGAAAATACAGGTTGGTAGAGAAAAGGAAGATATATAGTGATAAAGATGGTGATAGTGTTGAGAAGATAAAGAGTTTACCATGGCCACATGAGCATGTTGTAAACTTTGGGCTTAGAGAGCCTAATAAGCACACTTTCACCGGTACATCAATAGTACAAACCGTACAACAAAACAGATGAGATCAAAATCAATTGATGATGAAGGAGATACATGTCTATTGTCTATATTTTCACATGTAGCAGAATTTTGATGTGTATTACAATACAAGAAATGTTTTGTGCGACTCAAAGGTTGCCCCCCTAGCTTGCAGTTTAGCTAGTGTTTTGAAATATTTGCTGATTAAGAGATTAAAAAAAACTGTGATCTTCACATTTACTGTAAAAGTACTGCATTTACATTGCAAGAAATTGCACATTTTTTCCCCATCACAAATTTCTTATAATATTCAAGACACACAACAGGTGGTAAATGATGAACATAAAGAATCATTCAAACCTCAAAAATAAAAGTTGTTCATCTATTTAATAGGGGTGACACGGTGGGTCAGTGGTTAGCACTGTTGCCTCACAGCAAAAAGGTCGCTTGTCGGGCTCTGGCTGGGCCAGTTGGCAATTCTGTGTGGAGTTTGCATATTCTCCCTGTGTTGGCGCGGGTTTTCTCTGGGTTCTCCGGTTTCCCCCACAGTCCAAACACATGTGGTACAGAATAATTGATGAACTAAATTGGCCATAGTGTACGAGTGTGTTTGTGTGAATAAGAATGTATGGGTGTTTCCTATAGTGGGTTGCAGCTGTGTGAACAGTTTTTAAAACATGCTTCAGTATAGCACAATGCTTGTTAGCAGTAAAAGAAAAAAAGAAAAAAAAAAAAAAACAGTTGTTACGCACTGTCTAGGGATGGTGCACAACATGAAAGACACGACAACAAAAATGAATTCAAAGATTTATTGGGGTTTGAATTCAGGAGCTGACAAGGCCAAAATAACAAACAAAAATTCCTTTATTTAAATCTCTAACTTACCTGATCAAAAATAAAAGAAAAGAAAGTACAATTCACTTCCATAACTACCTAACACAAAAACAGAGGCCAAAAGGTTTTACAAAGAAAATGGCGTCAAACTCCTTACCATCCCAATATATACACTATTTACAATCAATTTACAAAAACAGGCAACCATATTTAAAGGACAATCCAAAATCAATGTCAGCAGGCAACAAAGGTCAAACAAGCTGGTGGAACAAAGTATCATAAACAAAGCAAACACTAAAACATACAGTACTCACAATTCTCAACATAATCTCAGAAGTCAAACAAAACAAACAGTACTCACAAATCTCAAAATTCCCAGTCCTAACACATCCAAAAACTTTGCACTATACTACATTCAAACATTTCAACAAACACAAGCAAGTGACCAAAAACAAGATGGCTGCCAAGGAAGTGATGTCATGGCTTTTTAAAACACTGTAGGCCAATCAGGATCAAGCAAGCTGGAAGTGGCCAATTGGATGTGTTCTAAGCAAAACAGGAAAAAAACAACAACAAAAAAAAACAGATGAGACAAGACAAACATAGGATTGTAACACAG